GGAAAGATGCTTTTTCAAGTACACCTTTCACATTTTGAATTTTGCACCTGTGCATCATTTTGTTAAATATTTTAACTAATTCTTTAAAATGAAATTTTATATAACCCAAAATAATCTATAGTAGTTAAATCAATGGTTTATCAAATAATCTGTGAATATAAAATAAATCACCTAGATTTGGTATTTCCCTACCAGCACGATAAAGTTTTAGAGTTATCCTAAGAAAAATAACTCTCAGAAGCAATTAACCTTTACAAACAGTCAATATTATGCAAAAATAAACATATGCCTAATATTTTCATTCTTCTTGTCCTTTTCTTTTCCTCCTATGATCTGCTCATTGCTAATTCTGTTTGAAGGTGAACAGGACAATGCATGAAGCTACACGCACTCTAATTTTTTTCTCCTCTTTAGCAATTGAAAATCCAACTAACCTTCCTTTACTGGCACCAAGCTTAGATTGGCTGGGCTGGAATTGCCTTTACCAATAATACCTGCAGTACTAACAGTAATCCACTGTTGAATCGTAGCTCTTTCAGCAGCCTGATAAGTCAGCGTGTCTACCAGGAGGCTGGGGTGAAGCTGAGATGGCTTATCTTCACTTTCAGGATTACCGATAGAGTATCTCTGTTAATAACAGTGGCGTTTATGAAAACATTAACTCAACTTAAAAGTTTATCCACCTCTTCAAGCTATTTTGAACATCTTGTTCTTTGATAACATCATAGCTAAGTGACCTCTGGGGTCAGCATGTGAGGCTTGGGTCACATCCAGATTTCGAATGGGGATGATCAGTTCATAGCCCTGCCAGTGGCCTGGGAATCTCCAACATTAGCACAGACTTTGTGACCTGGAGAATCAGAGAACTAGATAAAGAGGACGGGGGCTTCTTGCCCATTTCCAATTCCCAGAAGCAGCTCCCCTCACCTGTAGTCAGGGATTTTTTAAAATATTACTATTTACTTATCTCACACACTCAACTCTTCCACTTTTACCTTCTCTTGAATTTCTAGTGAGAGTTTCTTTAGGGCATGTTTTATTTTTAAATTCTTTATCGTCATTCCTGACATCATCTCCTAGCCTAGTCTCCACTATTGTCAGTGTCTGGCATATTTTCCCATCAGGACTTATTTTGGGTACAGGTGGGTGGCAAAATGTTGTTTGGTTTTGCTTCCTGCTGTGTGTTGGCAGGAATCCTAAAAATAGGTTAAAACCAGGTCCATGGCCTGTGTTTCTTTACTGTAACCCTTACAGTTTTACAGTTCAGGAGCATATGAGGTGGGTGGCTCAATTAGCCCACCTCCCGGCAAAGCAGGAAAGAAGTAGAAAAAGAAGTTTGCTGGGACAAGAAATTAAATTTCAAGTCTACCAGGAAGTAGCTGAGAAGCTTCAGCCGCAGAGATTGATTATTTACCTACGTCCCAGAAACGCTACAAGAAAACTCAGGGTTTTTTTGTTTCTTGTGTTCTTTTTCTGAACAACAAATGTCATCCCTTTGTGTGATGAAGGTACCTTAAGTAGGCAGTATGATTGGAGAACCAAGACTGATCAGGTGCCCTTCTCATCCCACCCAATCCCATTTTATCAGGCAGGACTATACAAAAAACAGACCATACAAACATGGACTTTCATAACTTAAAAGCCCAGAGTATAGAGCTCTCTTCAGGTATGGAGTTCCAACAGTTTCAGAAATCTATCCCTTCCCATCTCTTTGCTCTCCTTTCCCTTGAAGTGGCTTCTTTCTCAGGTTCACTTTCTCCTCACAGCCACATTCCAGCAGCTCAACAACCCTCTGGAAAGAGAGTGCGGTGTTCCTGGAAAGATTCCTATTGGCCCAGCTTAGGCCACATGTCATCACTGAGCCAATCACTGTGGACAAAGTTGTGTGCTTTGATTGGCCAGGCCTAAGTCATGGGTCTATTCCTGAAACCCCAGCAGTGCTGCCACTTCCACCTGGACCACAAGGATTGTGCAAGGGTGTTTCTCAAAGAAAACTAGGGCTATGATTAGCAGAAAGGAAATGGATCCTGCAAGGCTAGGACAAGAGGAGGTCAGTGAAGCACCATCAGGGCAAAATTTAAACAGGCACGCATTTTCTGATTCATGAAAGTTTGGTTTTGACAGTGAGCTTCTCCTCAAACTGTGTGCCCCTCACTCACCTCACCTTCCTCCTGGCCCTGGATGCTGGGCAAACAAAAAAAACAAAAACATTCATATACCCATGTTCAAAACTATGGCTCAGAGTACCTGAAATCCACACCTTTAGAGATTCATTTCTCTGAGTAGGCAGAGACATCTCTAGGGGTTCCTCAATTTCTTTTCCCCCAAAATAGCTACAGGGTAAATCTTTAGTCAGTTAAAGTTTCCCCAATACATGCTAGTTATAGGCTATCAAGTCAGTAACCTCCAGAGCCAGCACGTGTTAAAAGCCCCACCCCATAAAAATGTGTGGTGCACTGTGAGGGCCAAGTGGGCAAGACCTGGGACTGTACAGAAGAGGGTCCCTGGAGAGGAGGAAAATGACAGAAAAAAAGGAGATGCAAGATGTTACAGGCACACTTTTAACCAATCACTTAATAACACCTAATGAACACTGGCTCTAGGTCTACTTCATGGATTTTCCTAAGTTCTACCATATGGAGAAATGAAGGTAGCAGGCTGGCAAGAGAGGATGTAGCTGGAAAGGCTCAGGGCACAGTCCATGTGGAAATCTCTGAACAGGACCTCTTTGATGGTGTGCAACATCTGGGAAGGCTTATCTGGAGTTCCAATCATAAGGCTACAGGGAGGAGTGTGAATCCTGCCAAGGGAAAATCCTTGCTTATTCTCAAGGCTGGTGTCTTTGAAAGCTTAATTTTCCCCTACAGTAAAGGTTTAAGGAAAGACTGGGAAAGTTATGAATTGTGTGTCCCTCCTAGGACCAAGGGGAAATTCAATTCTTAAACCACAAGATAAATAAGTCAATTACCTCTTAAGTTTGGTACTAATAAAGACAATTTTTTTTCTATCTTTCATATTCCACTAATTTTAATCTTCCTTTTTGGGGACTCTAGTTGCCTTTGGCAAAGAAAAGAGCTTAACATAACTGAAATATAGCTGCCTCTAATAAAAATCAGGTTTAAAAGTTTTTGTCCCTCTTAAAAGTTCATAAAGAAATGATTCTGTTATTAATTGGAGGCTGCATTTGGGAATATGATTTTCCATTTTGTCAACTCATAATGGATCCAAACACTACCCAGAAACCAGGGTAACCTGGTCCACAGACATCAGCTGTCTGTTTCTGGTGGCATATATGTCACCACGGTGTGAACGGTGGATGGCTAGATGCCAGCAACCTTACAACCTTATAACTCACTCCCCTGTTTATGGAGCAGCCTTCTACATAAAATGGCTTCCACAGGATGTGCCTACTGGCAGAGCATGTGGTGGCCAGAATGCCTGGTGCCCTCAGCAACCATATTTCACAGTAACTATTTGCTTTATACTTCATTGATAACTAACAAATCATCATTCCAGTTGTAAGCATTCTAGTTGTAAGAATCAAGTTTCTGTGCCCACAAGGCTTGCAGATGCTGGACCAGGGGCAAGTCACAGGAACTGTGTTGATCAACCGTGAGGCCTCTTACAGACACAGCAGGAAGCCTTCTTTCCTAGTTACACCCCTTCTCTCACCCTGTGAGTCTTCAAACTGGGAAAATTAGATGCTATAAAAGCAATGAGTACCTTTTTAAGTTCTTCCTTGCCCAAAGAATACCACCAGATGAACTTTTTGCAAAATATAATAATTGGCAGTAGATTTATTAATGAGTGCAATAAATATTGAGTACCTTATTATATGCCAACTACTGTGCTAGGTGTGGTGGAGAATTCCAGGCTGAAAAGGATAGGGTATCAGTCCTCGAAGCTTGCAGACCAGGAGAGGAGATACACAATAACTTTCTTAAGAGACACATTATTCTAACTTCTGTAGTAGAAGAATGAACTACACTGTATGGAAAAAGAAAAGATTAATTGTTAACAAGTGGCTCAGAGAAGACCTCTTGGAAGACATGAGATCTGAGCTGACTCCATGAGATGCTTTGGGGAGAGTTGCAATCCAGGCAAAAGGGGGTTTGGCTCAAAAGTGCAGGGAACAGGACCCCCACATGGCTGAACATCTGGGCCTTGGCAAGCATGCCATTAAGACCAGGTGACTGGGTGAGAGACAGACTGGGAAAACTCTGGGCTCTAGACCACAGAGCATGGGAGTGCAGGAGTGCTCTGTCCCACAGATTATCATAGTTAGTTAAATCCTAAACCACCATGGCTGTGTTTTTTGAGCTCTTCCTAAGTAGAAAAACTAACAGTCCAATATATATTATTGTGTATTAAGGTATCATCATCCATCTCTTTCACTTGGTTTGTTTCTTTTGAACCATTTAATCTACCTAAATTAAGACCTCCAAATTCAAGATCATCCAGGCTATGAACCCCTCCCTGGAAAAAAAAAAAAAAAAAAAGAGGGTTTCCAGGCACAGGGGAAAGATGTCAACACCTCTGAATTAAGACACTATGGCACAGGGGGAAATGCCTAGGTGCCTAAATGAGGGGGTGTTTTCTCAGCTCTTCAGAGCGGCCCCTCTGGCTCCTTAGGAAAGGGGTCCTCCTCAGCCTCTCCAAGCCTCAATCTGCCTGGGATGCACATATCCCAAGGGGTTTGGGGAAAACGCTTTAAAAACCACGCTGGCCAGAGATCAGCAGCAACATCTGAAGCAATAGCGGCAGTGACAGCACCGGAATTTCTGGTCTTTCCAGCTGCCCAGGATTCCCAGCTTGAACTCTTCCTGGAAACGCTTGCTTTTTTCACCGCTTCTCTTGCGCAATCTAGTGGACCCCTCCCTCCGCTCTCCGGCTTCTTATAACGACGAGAGCGGCGAACCACAGCCCCGAGCCTGAACGCCACACAGCGTCCCCTCTCGGCCCGGCATTCAGCGCGCCCCGCAGCAGCCACGCTGGACCGCAGTTGCCTGGGAAACACCTCTCCCGCAGGTGGGTCACATTGCTGCTGGCCTTCGCCTTGTACCTTTCGCCACAGGGCTCCCCTCCCTTATCAGCTTCCGCCCACCTCAAACCCCTGCTTCCAGGACCCCGCTCCGCAAACCTGCTCACCCTGGGAAGAAGGCGCAAGGCCACCCTAGGGTGTAGCCAGATGAGTTAAGCAATTCAACAAGTGGCTTGCTTCCTAGACTTTCATTCCCGGGGTGCAGACGAGACCGAAGGAGAAGACTTGGAGGTTTGGATTCCTCTCTGTATCTTACTTCTGGATAAAGGCAATCTAGATCTGAGTCCGCTTCTTGACCAAGAGCTGAACATGTGTCCTAAGATCTGCAACCGCTTCCATCCTTGATCTTGATTCCAATGTCCTTCTGCAGTTTAGTGATTAATTGCTTTTCCAGAGAAATATTGTTTGGAATGTAGTTGTTTAGAGTAAATAAAGCCTTTGGTTCCCTGTTTGTCCAGAGGCAGCTGGAAGGTAGTTTTTCCCTCTGGATAGTAATTTAGAAACTTTCTTTGAAAGATGACAGGTGTAAGGGAAAGTGAATTGGATGGAGACTAGGGCAGGGGTAGATTGGGGAATTCTATTCCTAGTTCTAATTAGAAGTTCAGTACCTCAGCCTCAGTTTCCACCCATGTAAAATAAAAGGCTCTTGGACCAGAGCAGCCACAAATCCAACTCTTAACAAGGTGAAAACACATGACTAAAGATGTTTGCAGGTTTGAAATACACTGAAAATTTCATCAATGCTATAAGTGTAACCAAGTAATTACTTTCTTCATAATAATGCAGGTTTTTCACTTTTATAGGGAAACTACCCAGCTGTGGAGAGATAGTCCTTCCCCACCGAGTATCTAGACTTGTACCACATTTATCATTCAGAGAATACTCTCAGCTTTCCAAACCAACTCTTCAGCCTTGCTCTATGAGAATGTCCTATTCCCTATAAATGGCAGTCATATAAATGTCACTCATATGAAAGAACATTTTTTTCTGATACAGTAGGTGTAATTTTATAAAATGGCACATTTATTTGAAGCAGTAACTTTTTTGCAAGGCCCTGAGTTTTTCAGAATGCTTTGATTTAGCACAGTATGAAATTCTACCTGCCTGTATTCTGCCTGCATGGCAAACACTGCCAACCCAGAAAGCAGGATGAAGCACTCCCTATTTATCAGGCTTCAAGGTTGTATAGGAAATGGAACATGTGTATGGAGAAATTGGGTCATAGCACTCTGTCCATTTGGCAACATTTATGGTGCTGCTGAAGTTCACACGGCAACTGAAGGTTCAGAAACCAGCATGTTCGAGGTCTGACCCCTAACTTGAGAATGATTTTAGGATTCCTGCCTTGCTTAAGCTTGCTAACTGTTGTTCGAAGTAACCAAATACGTTTTTATAAGCCTGTTCATACATTGAAGACCTTAAGCCTTGAGCCTTCTTCTGAACAGTTTTAAGAAAAATAGATTCATTTGTCATAGAATTCCAAAATGGAAGAAATCCTGAAGAGTCACTCTACATTTCCTCATCTCCTGAAGGAGATGATGATCCTCATGATCCTCACCATCCAGTTATCTTTATAAGTCATTTGCATCTTTTGTCAACTGCTATTTAAAAATTATTTCCTTTTAAAATCTTCACAAAGTTTATCTGCTAGCAAAAAAAAAAGATATAATCACCTTTCAAACTTGAAGACTTGCCAGGGCAACTTGTAGGTTTCTTCTGGGTTGTCCTCTGAAGAGGAAGTCAATTGTTAAGTGTCTGCAGCTACATCTACCTATAATTCCTACTCTAAGAATCTCGGACAGGCTGTGGATAGTGAAGTTTTCTGTGTGGGATTTTTTTTTGAAGTTGTAGTTAGGCCAGAAGGAATAGAAATAAAGTTTACAAGGCCTCTGAAGCCAGCTGTTTGACTCTGTGCTTTGTACGTCCTTCTGTGCTCTGCACATCCAAAGAGAATGGGTCACTAGTTAACTATGAAGACAGTTAACTACGAACAGTTCCACATGATGTATGCAACCTACCGTGAATTTTGAATGACTTTTAGGTCATTTCCAAAATGATTTGAATTAACACTTGTTCTTTTGTTGAGAAGAAATCAGACCTGGAAGGAATAAAGCTAAGTAAATAACTAAAGGATAATTAATGCTGAAAACAATGTATGGTAAGAAAACATACTTGGCCAACATACATAAGCAATTTGTTCTTCCAAAATCATTACGGAAAAAGGAACAAAGAATGCTTGCACTGTATGAAGATCATCTTTCAGAAATACGTCACTGCAAAAAATATGCAATGTTCTACTCAAAGAAGCATTTCCACCCTAATTACCTAAGCAGGACATGACATCCTAATCTGAATGCTTCTCCACATTGTTCTAGAAGAGTGTAGTCTGCCATGTGTAAAAAAGCCTTATCATACTGAACTTTGATGGTTGCATACTTCTGAAAGTTATTTTGAGGAAAGTATGTTTCTTTGAAATATAGATTACATGATCAGTCTTCATGTCAGGATGAAGTTAAGTTCACTTTTCATCTTATAAGGAAGGTAAATGTGTGCAAAGGATAATTTTGAAAAGTCAGGAACTATAATTCTGAAAGAAAAGAAAGCTAAGAGGTAACAATATAACTGTATAGCACTCCTCTTAGAGAGGGGTTATTAGAACACATCTCTTTTACCTTAGCTCCAAATATTGAAGGAAAAAAAATGGCATCAAGCACAGGGCCAAGTGTTCCAACCAGGGTTTCATTGGTGATGGCACAAGCACTGAGAAGCATAGGAATAGGAGGGCGTGGCTAATGGTCCACACTGATTATACATCTTTCATCTATACTTCTCATTTTACAGGGTGTGGAAACAGTTTTGAGCCCAAATTAAGCAGTGTCTGAAGCAATTATGCACAGACTTTGGTAAACTTTCTTGTCCTACTTCCCAGGCAGAATAGCTCCCCTCCTCTGTATATGCAACATCTTCACACGTTGTATTGCAGCAGTTTGATTATGTGTCTACATCCTCCCCAACTTGGGAGCCCCTGGAGGACAAGGTCAGTCGAAAGTTTATCACTTTATCCCTCTTGTATAGCACAGTGCCTGGCTCAGAGAGGCTGTTCAATAAATCTGTCAAAAACACGCAATCCTACCAAGACATTGTTGATAACAGTAATTTTTATTTTTGAAAGATGCTTATCATTATGGGCATAGGAGGTTATAAGCATGGATGCCCCCTGAGCTGTACTAGTTAATAGGGTCAAAGTGTCCTGCCTTTTGGGAATAAGCATGAGATTGCTGTATGCTGTACAGTACATATAAAGTAAGTAGTGGAAATTATTATAACTATTTTTAAAAGGATAAAGAAATTGCAGCAACCTTGGTATTTCTTCTCATTTTAGTAACCCCATTATGTTGCTATCCTGGGTAAGGTTCATAATAAATTTGTAACTATAATACTTTGGAGTTTAATTCATTTTAAAGAGTGACATAATGAGATTAAGGCATTTAACTGAGGTCATGAAAGTTGGAATATTAAATTTTTAAAGGTTTTAATTAGTTTAACTTAAGTAAAACACTTAAGTTTCCTTAATACCTGAAGGCATGGCACAAGAAATGAAGCCTATTGAACAGTTCAAAAGAACTAAGTTACAGCAAATCATTCTTATTATAGAAATGATCATGCTTCTAGTTATTTCTTCTCCAGTACCCAAGTACTAAAATGATTTCTTCATCCTATTCAATTGCCCTGACTTAGGTGGTATGAGATACGGGAGGGGGCTGAGGAGAAAGCAATTAGCAAGTTGGTAAATGGTTCATTGCAGTTAAAAATGGTCATCTTCAACTGAGATCCTAAACTGTGCTTTTTTTTTTTTTTTTAATGCATGTCTGGAAAATTAGAAGATATGTGTTTGGGGATGATGGTACACAAAGAGGTCCCTGTATCTATCTCCCTGAGGGAACCAAGAGTCTAGCAGTGTCAGACTTACAGCCAAAATCGTGATAACTCCATGTGTGCAGTGGAGAGGGTCTGGAACATTTGTTAAGGGAGGCAAGCCACATGGATTCTGTTATCATTAAGAACCTAGGAGCCTTCCTAGAAGGAAGGCCTCTAAGGAAAGAGATTTTAAGGCTTAAAGTATAAAGTCAGGAGTGGGAAAGTATATCATCCTGTCAGTCCATTTATTTCTCCATTTCCATGGTCACAGGCAGAGTCTTGGGGAGAAGGGGATGAGAGACAGAGAAAGAGTCAGTGGTATGCTGGTAAATGGCTCTCTAAGGCAAAAAAAAAATGTCCTGAATTACAGCATTTGCTGATTTCCATGGTGTGAAAACTCCCACCATGGCTGATTTCAAACTTTCATCTGGCAAGCCAGCTCTGGTCATACCACACAACTAAAAAGAGCTGAAATTAAATACCTAGGACTTAAAAAGAAGGAGCTGCTTTCACTAAAATATATTTATCAACCAGCACTGCTCTCAGGCTTGTATATCAGAGTATAATACAGGAAGCAGAAAGGTGTTTCAAGGGTACTTTCCCTCCTGGGGTAAGAATTGAAGCAGCTGAAAGGCCAGATCATGGTCGCAGCTCAAGCTCATGGGGTCTTGGCGAACATTAGACGTACTCTGGCCATTGGGAATCCTTGCCTCCAGAGCCAAATTAGAAATAGAAGAAAACGGTACCCAAAAGAAGATAAAGGAGACTATATACAAGACATGTAAACCACCCCTAGGAGATTTCTAAAAATGCTGAGGAGATGCTTTGAAGCAGATTGGAGTTACCCCATCAGTAGGGTTGGGGGCCAGGGAATGAGATCAGATCCACAGCAAAACTGCTCTATCGGGCTTCCCTGGTGGCGCGGTGGTTGAGAGTCCGCCTGCCGATGCAGGGGACACGGGTTTGTGCCCCGGTCCGGGAAGATCCCACATGCCGCGTTGCAGCTGGGCCCATGAGCCATGGCCGCTGAGCCTGCGCGTCCGGAGCCTGTGCTCCGCAACGGCAGAGG